CACAAAAAAAAAAAAAAAAAAAAAGAAATAAAGGTATATACCTAAATTCCTATTTATGAGATAATCTATAGAAAAAGTTGTAGTAAGCTCTTTTATTGGACACAAGCAACTCAGTTGTAATTTGTTATAAAACTCAATAAGTTTATCTTTTGGGGGAACAGACCTGAAGTAAGATTATCAATAAGAATTAGAGTTTTAGGAAAACCTGTGGCTATTAGCCACTCTTGGGGGCATAAGTGACCCTCTGCAGTAAGACAACAATCACTAGTCTGGGTTGTTTTTACTAAAAAGACAGCCAATTCAGGCAGGCACAGTGGCTCACGCCTGTAATCCCAGCACTTCGGGAGGCAGAGGCGAGAGGACTACCTTAGATCACGGGTTTGAGACCAGCCTGGGCAACTTGTTGAGACCTTGTCTCTACAATAAATCAGATATAAAAAAAATAAAATAAAAAATTAGCTAGGCGTGGTGGCACGTGTCTGTGGCTCCAGCTACTTGGAAGGCGGAGGCAGAAGGATCGCCTGAGCCCAGTAGGTCAAGGCTGTGGTGGCTGTGAGCATGACACTGCACTCCAGCCTGGGCGACAGAGTGAGACTCCAACTAAAACAACAACAACAACAAAAACCCAGCCAATTCTCATCATCCTTCAAGATCAGTTTTTCCCCAAGCTTAACTGGGTCCCCAAACCCTTTCTACACATGAATTCCCTAATATTATACAATATTTTCTTGTCACAGTTTATCCTAAGGAAGAAGAGAAAGCCAATAGGTGCAGTCACTTATTAAAAAATGTGATAAGCCGGGCTTGGTGGCTCAGCTTGTAATTCTATGCCTTTGGGAGGCTGAGGTGAGTGGACTGCCTGAGCCTGCAGGTTCGAGACCCGCCTGGGCAACTTGGCGAGACCTCATCTCTACAATAAATCAAAAAAATTAGCCGGGCGTGGTAGTGCATGCATGTAGTTCCAGTACTTGGAAGGCTGAGGCGGAAGGATCGCCAGAATCCAGCAGGTCGAGGCTGTAGTGGCTGGGAGCGGACACTGCACTCCAGTCTGGGTGACAGAGTGAGACTTCAACTCAAAAAAAAAAAAAAAAAAAAAGTGATGTGCTATGCAAATAGTTCCCATTAGTCATTCTTTGTACTGGCCCGGTTGGGCCATCGGCAGGCAGCCTGTAATATGACTTCCTTCACTGACTGTGTGGGAACCAGCTTCACACACTGCCAGCAAAACACACAGTTTGCCATTACCTTGTTCAAATTTGAAATCGATGTAAGAATACTGATTCATTTCTTTTCTCTTCTTCCTTTTTCCGTTGGTTTCTGGTGATAGCTCCTGCCATTTTTTAATGGCATCAGAAAAGGCCTAAAAATTAAGAGAAAGGTTACCTCTGTAAATGGACAACAAGAATACCTGAAACACAGGCAATCCCTAAATCTCATTTTGATTCAGTTTCAGCAATCTTTATTGCATGGCTAACCAGAAAAAGGCAGTGGCAAAATACATAGGTAGCATTTCATTATTTTTATTTTCTCTTTCATAAACTGCTATAGTGGCATAATCAAAATGCTTACTGACAGATTAAAGAGTGACTGTTTTGCCACCTCACCTCCCATAAGCATTCCAGCTGCCTCTTATCCAGCATCTACCCTACCTTTCCACTTACTAATCTATACTTATATCAAGTGCCAAGTCTACTACCTACATTGCACCTCATCTTCCCCAACCTCTCAGCAGTATTTAATAAAGTGGAACACTCCATTCTCCCATGTTTCTCCTTCCTCTCTGCCTGTTCTTTCTATGCCATCCTCCTCCAATTGGTCTTTACATGCTGAGTGCTCTCTTCTCACCTGATAATTCTCTCCAGGTACCTCATTCACGCTGGTGAGCTTATCTTCCATATGCTACTTTCTCACAAAACCCTATCACTAGCCAGGCTCAGTGGCTCAGCCTGTAATCTCGCGCCTTTGGGAGGCTGAGGTGAGTGGATTGCCTGAGCCTGTGGGTTCGAGACCCGCCTGGTCAGGCGAGACCTCATCTCTACAATAAATAAAAAAAATCAGCCGGGCATGGTAGCGCGCGCCTGTAATTCTGGCTACTTGAAAGGTTGAGGCGGAAGGATCGCTGGAGCCCAGCAGGTCGAGGCTGTGGTGGCCGGGAGCGGCCACTGCACTCCAGTCTGGGCGACAGAGTGAGACTCCAACTCAAAAAAAACCAAAACAAAACAAAAACAAAAACAAAACCCTATCACTATAAAATCCAGGGAGATAGTGGAGAAAAAAAATGCTAACTCTAGTCTGTATTTCCCATCTTTTAGTCCATTCAAATGCACAATGAATGATTTTTACTTGATGTCTCACAAGCCTCATTTAGCATGTTAGCAACCAATGTTTCCCAGATGAGTTCATGATTCTTTCTTTTCATGAGTTCATCTTTTTACAGTATTCTTTACCCTAGTTTATTACACTAATATCACCCACATTCCTTTCACCTAACTCCTACTTGGATCTGTGATTAAATGTCATTTGTGCAAAAGAGGCCTTCCTGGAGCCCCTTGGTCTTCCTTAGATTGTTTCTTCTTTCACCCTTTCTTTTTTTATTGAGTTGGAGTCTCACTCTGTCACCAAGCCTGGAGTGCAGTAGCATGCTCACAGCCACTGCAGGCTTGACCTGCTGGGCTCAGGCAATCCTCTGGCCTCTGCTTCCCAAAGTGCTGGGATTACAAGTGTGTGCCCGGTATATTTCACCCTTTTAATGTCCCTGTATTTTTCTTTCAAAGTCTGTAACACAGTTGCCATTATGTATTGGTTTGTTTGCCTCTCTGTTTCATGTTATCTCCTCCACTAAACTGTGAACCTCTGGAGCACAAGGAAAGTTCCCATAGTTCAAAGTATAGCCTTAGCAACTTGCACAATCTGTATTTAATATTCATTTGGGGAATAAATGAATCCTTGCAAGGGACATGCATGTGTTACAAGCATGTTGCCAATAATCACATTCTGAATCTGCTTCTCCTAGAGAAACAACTATACATTCCTGTAGTATAACAAAAACAAGCATCTGAGCTACGTGAGAGGAAGGATCATGCTTTCACCTTTTATCTTCATTCCTTTCTTTTGGATTGTTCTATTCATTATCTCATTTAATTCTCACAATAATCCTCTGAGACAAGTACTATTTATTTTATAGTAAGAAAAGCAAGGCTTAGAGGAGAGAAAGAACTTGCCCCAAGTCAAACCTTAGTGAAAGCTAGGATCTGAACTCAGGTCAGTCTTGAAGCTCCTCTTTTTGATATTACTACCCTGTTATCACAGATAGATTCAATGAAAGCCCATTAAAAGCTGGCCAATGGCCGGGCTCGGTGGCTCAGCCTGTAATCCCAGCACTTTGGGAGGCCGAGGTGAGTGGATTGCCTGAGCCCGCGGGTTCAAGACTTGCCTGGGCAACTTGGCAAGACCTCATCTCTACAATAAATAAAAAAATCAGCTGGGCATGGTAGGGCATGCCTGTAGTTCCAGCGACTTGGAAGGCTGAGGCGGAAGGATCGCAGGAGCCCAGGAGACCGAGGCTGCGGTGGCCAGCAGCGGCCACTGCACTCCAGTCTGGGCGACAGAGTGAGACTCCAACTCAAAACAGAAAAAAAAAAAAAAAAGCTGGCCAATGACAAATTTCACCTAACTCTACCTCCCTTATGAACCATTTTGCCTGCAGAAATTTGGCTTTCTATTTCTTCTCCTTTGTTTTCTATTTATTTCTTCTTTCTGAAATTCCCACTACCCAAGGTTTCCCCCCCAAATGCTAAGGCACTAGTCCTAAAGTCATATTTTTGTACTCAGTTAAAGGTAAACACCACACCTGTGAACTAGTACTGCTTAAAAACACAGGAAAGGAAGCAGGATAGTTATTTTAATTTGCATTCTATAAATGAGGTAGTTAAAGGGAAGGGTTAAGTAATGAAACTAGAATGTTAACTCAAAGCTTCTGAATGGTGGTCTACTGTTCCATACCACACTTAAAGGCAGCTGGTTCCATTTAAATACTGTTTCCAGGTAGCAGGGGGAAAGTCCCATGTAATATGAACATAAATTGGTACTTATCAGGAAACTGTATCTTTTAAAAAGTTGTCTATGAATTCAAGTAGTCTTCAAAATCTTGCTTTTTAGTTTTGCTAGATATGGGTTCTTGCTATGCTGCTCAGGCCTGGTCTCAAACTCCTGGCCTCAAGCAATCTCTTACTTTAGCCTCCCAAAGCACTGGGTTTACAGGCATGAGTCACTAGACCTGGCCTAAAAATCTTATCATGTAACAGTTATTAACAATTATCACTTATCTTAATATTGACTAAAGGTCTAGTTAAGTAAACCAGATAAAATTAGATTATCGAATGACACTAGAATTCCTTCCTTTTGAGACCTGCTAGTCTACACACCATAAATGTAACACAGTAACTTATTTTTGCTTCTTAGCCTTAGTACACAGAGTTCCTTTAGTGAAAACACCTTTCCTTCAATACTCTGCTCCACTAGTGCTTTTAAGGGCTTCATCACACTGATTTAAACCTTTGCACTCAGAGACATCTCACGGATCACCTAACAGTAACTCGACTACCAGAAATGAGAAATTAACCGACAACTTTGACAATATGCACAACTGCTGGGGTTGGTGGCTCAGCCTGTAATCCTGTGCCTTTGGGAGGCTATGGTGAGTGGATTGCCTGAGCCCGTGGGTTCGAGACCCGCCTGGGCAGCGAGACCTCATCTCTACAATTAAAAAAATAAATAAATAAAATAAATCAGCCGGGCGTGGTAGTGCACGCCTGTAATTCTGGCTACTTGGAAGGCTGATACGGAAGGATCGCCGGAGCCCAGCAGATCAAGGCTGTGGTGGCCGGGAGCGTCCACTGCACTCCAGTCTGGGCAACAGAGTGAGACTCCAACTCAAAAAAAAAGACAATATACACAACTGTGTCCAAGCTTTTGGGGAAGAAAACATTTAGCTAGGGTCAAAGAACAAAAACAAAACAACATAAGACCAAAGCAAAAACTGAGGCGACTAACTTTAACTACAAAAATCCGAGAAAATCCAAGGAAACATTATCATACCACATACCGAAAAGATTTAACAAAAACTGTGTATACTGAAAAGTTGCGTATCTGTGTGTGTGTGTGCCCATGTGTATAAGATATAGGATGCCCATCTAGCACAAAAGAAAGCTACAAATGGGCCGGGCTCAGTGACTCAGCCTGTAATCCCAGCCTACAATTAAAAAAAAAAAATTAGGTGGGTGTGGTAGCCTGTAGTTCCGGCTACTTGGAAGGCTGAGGCGGAAGGATCACTAGAGCCCAGTAAGTCGACGCTGGGGTGGCCGTGAGCGTGGCACTACACTCCAGCCTGGGCAACAGAGTGACACTCCAACTAAAAAAAAAAAAAAATTACAAATAATTTCTAAAGCTGATGAACCAAGCATAAGCATACGTTCATAAATATGGAGACAAATACTCCCCAAAAAGAAGTGTCGAGTTGCCTCTAGAGAGTAGAGGAAGAGGACTTCAACCTGCCATTAAAAATACATAAATAAGCATGCTAGCATTATTTGATAATTCAAATTATGAAAATAAATAACTTTGATAAAAATATTCATTTAAAGAAGTATCTCCTGCTATAAATTTTTAAACTTCACTTATTCCCTCCAGTTTAAATTATTTATTAAAAACACTTAACAGTAAGACTGTCCCTATAGAGGCCGAGGTGAGAGGATTGCATGAGCCCAGAGGTTTGAGGCCAGCCCAGGCAACTTGGTGAGACCCCATCATCTCTACATTAAATCAAAAAATTAGTTGGGCATGGTGGTGTGTGCCTGCAGTTCCAGTTACTGGAAGGCTGAGGCAGAAGGACCACCTGAGCCAAGCAACTTGAGGCTGCAGTGGTCGGTTGGGAGCGTGGTACTGCCCTCCAGCTTGGGTGATAGAGTCAGACTCCTACTCAAAAAAAAAAAAAAAATCCGAGCTAAGATATGCAGTGTTAAGTGCGTATGTTTGCAACACACACACACACACACACACACACACACACACACAGTTTCCCTGCACTCTATGCAGCAGGTCGTATCTGGATCGCAGCCCTCTCTAGCTTGAATTCACTGCTGCAAATCTAAGTGGGAGTGGTGTCACCAGAAGGCTCTTGTAATGTAACACTATGGAATGAATCTGAAGACAGAATAAAAAGCTTGAGAATCCAGTCTGGGCGACAGAGTGAGACTCCAACTCAAAAAAAAGAGAATTTCTCTGTAGAAGGCAAAAAGAAGTGTGACGGGATGGAAACATGTTTACTAAAATCTGATACATGCTAGGCATATGTTTATATACAGTTATCTATTTTTGCAATACGATTTAAGACATCCACTATAACGAAAAGAAAACTGAAGCTCAGTAAGTTTAAGACACTGTCTCAAAATCACAGACTAGTAAATAGCAGAACAGGAATTAAAATCCGAGGAGGGGAAATATCAAGTCTGAGTTTGAACAAGACTCTAGATCTAACTATCAATTTATAGAAAATACAGGGGACAGAGAGAACATTTAATGACACTGGGGGTGTGGTAGGTAGAATTGAAATTGTCAGAACCTATAGGATAACCAACTCATTTTTCAACAAACAAGCTGCAAAAAAATTTTAAAAAAGAGGAGATGATAAATCTCTACAGATTATGAGAGATTTAAGTAACAACTAATTGCAATCAATGGATTTTACTTGAAACCTACTATGACCAAACAAGCTGTTGAAAAGATTTTTGGCACAGAGAAATGTGAACACTGACTATCTGATGCTGCTCATTTTGAAAGCGTGATAATGGTTTTTTGATTATGTTTTTAAAAAGCATCTTTTTTTTTTCCTGAGTCTAGGTCTCACTCTGCCACCCAGGCTGGAGTGTAATGGTATGCTCACAGCTACCACGGCCTTGACCTGCTGAACTCAGGCGATACTTCTGCCTCAGCCTTCCAAGTAGTTGGAACTACAGGTGCATGCTACCACACCCGGCTAATTTTTTGATGTATTGTAGAAATGAGGTCTTACAAGTTGCCCAGGCTGGATCTTCAACCCCTGGGCTCAGGCAATCCTCTTGCCTCCACCTCCCAAAGTGCCAGAATTACCGGCAAGAGTCACTATATCCAGTCTTAAAATGCAACTTTTATCTTTTAAAGATATAAACACTGAAATACTTATGGATGAAAAAAATTAAATGTATACAGTTTGCTTCAAAACTGGGAAAGAGAAAATGAGTAGGAATAGAGATTTTAAAAAATGGAGTGTGAATTGGTAATTGTGCATGACGTTATAACTAAAAAATTGAAAAAAAGTCAAGGGACATGTAACCCATTCTCCACAGCAAACACACTTCCCCTAAACGATCACTTTGGGGGTGGTATGGCGAAGCTGTGTCATTAATTTAATTCAAAAATATTTCTTGGTGCATGTCTTCTACTCCTCTGTCCATGTGACTGTTACTTTCTGCAGGGCAGAAATCCTGTGTATCATTAGAATATATCAAGAAGTTATAAATTCTAATTGAGTGTATCATGTTTTAGCTTCTGCTAAACAGTATTTCTAAATACCCCTCTTGAATTCAAATCGCCCTAACACACCCATTTCAAAACTCATATAAATTTCAAACTACCAACCAAGATAAGAAGACACCATAAAAAATACAAAGGACCAGAAAGATAAGGAAAGGAATAAAGAAGATACAAGCGGCACCTCAAACAGACAAAGTATCACACAGAATCATGTAATTAAAGTGACAGAAGAACGCTCAGGAGATAAACTGGCTAAATGCCCATCTTTATACTACCTCAGGACTACAGTGCATACACAGAAGAACTGCAACCACTGCAGCCCCAAACCCTACAACCGTCCAACCAAATGAGTGGGCTGAGGGATGACCAGGCACTGGGAGCTGGTAGAGAGCACCCGATAGCACAATTCCTTCCACTGGTCTCAGGAAGGGACATATCCCTGGGCAGGAACATTACTCATGAGGACCAACCCACACCAGACCAGGAGCATTCTCCTGTGGTTTGCCCTTTGACTTTTAATCTGGACTCCCTAGGAGTCCAGAAGAGGTGTAAAAGAACCCAGGAGCAGCACAGATGCCAGGCAGAGCCAAAGGATAAAAAGAGCCCTTTCTGTCTTGTGGTCATTAATTTTTGGGAAAGATAATTTGCTTTTCAATGACAGTAAAGACAATCTCTATTATAACACATGACAAGTGAAATTCAAAAATGGAAAGAACTAGCTCTGTTCTCTGCAGAGTAATTTTACCTAAAATGAACCTACAATTAGGAGTTTGCTAACAGTTGTCTTCATCTTCTTGGCATCTAAAGGTGGAAGGGGCTTACCTTAAACCTCAGCGTGAGCCACATTCTCCTGCGGTTCACCTTCTTACAGGTAAGACCCAGTGAGCATTTTAACCATCAAAATAAATCTACATTTGTTTGTCCATTGGAAAAAAAAAAAGTACAGTGTTTGTTGGGAAGCATAACAACTTCAGCAGAACAGGATTTAATGGCAGCAAAGGTGACCAAGAGAAGTAAGCCAAGAAATCTGCTGAGGCTCATGCTACTATACTGCCTGAGTGCCGCTATGAAGCAGGCATTGTGCTGCAAATTCACAGGATCAGTCAGATCTGCATTACCCACTAGCACCCGACCAACCCTTGGAACAGAGACCCTAAAGTGTGATCTTACTTAGGGCCCTGGGGGAAATACTGGAGCTATCAATAACTGCCCACTCTCTTCTGACACACACCCCTACTCCTTAGGACCACTGTGTCCCTGGGCTCTTTCCAGATCTTACCTGATGTCACCTGGATGGTTGGGTGACCTGTCCCAAGTCAGAAAGCCAATCAGGGGGAGCAGGATTAGAAAATATCTCTCACACTCTTGTCATCCTACACTGCCCAGTAAAATGTATTACCCTCCATGTTTTTATGGTCAAACCAGAACTTTTCTGTTTCTCATCTATTATTATTTATTTTCATTCAGTTTTGCTGATCAGCAAATATCTTAGTCTATTCATCTTTACTCTGACAAATTCCTCAGCTCTTTGCATCATAAACCACCCTAATATCTGCAAGCTGAACTCTATATTCTGTATCATGGGAAGAAGTAGTTAAGAGGTGTGTTCCCAATAGGATGAAGAAGTAGAGCACCTTTCGAGTGATTGCATAGTGTCCTTTGAGCTCGTGCAGGGCCCACTTGATGTCCTGACTGCTGAGCATTTTGAAGTCGGCCATCAGGAGATCAGCAGCTTGGATGAAGCAACGTTGGTCAAGAGGAGTCAATTTAGAATAGTCAAAAAAATCTATTTTAGGCAACTGAAATGAGAAAGAAGCACAAAATTAGAGGCTAGATGTGTATTTCCTATAGTGGGCAATCATTTTAAGAACTACATATAGAAAAGAGTAATCTCATTTGTTCTCCTAACAACTCTATAAGGAGGTCACCAGCCCTATAACAGAGAAAAAGAAACAGTAGCTCAGAGAGGCTAAATGACCTTTCTAGAGTCTACAGATCAGCTTTACTAGTCAGAACTATTAAAGAAGTATAGCTGAGGATCTGAACCAATCTTTCAGTCATCCTCTTTCCACAAGATGAAAAAACTATTTTTTTCCTACTACAGAATATGCAAAAGAGACAGTCAAAATAATCTGTGGAAAGTAGGAAGATCTGGTTGGGCACGGTGGCTCATGTCTATAATCCCAGCACTTTGGGAGATGAGAGGATTGCCTGAGCCCACAGGTTCAAGACCAGTCTGGGCAACTTGGCAAGACCTCTCTACAATAAAATTAAAAAATTAGCTGGGCATGGCAACACGTGCCTGTAGTTCCAGCTACTTGGAAGGCTTAGGCAGAAGGGATTGCCTGAGCCCAGCTGGTTGAGGCTGTGGTGGTTGGGAGTGTGCCACTGCATTCCAGCCTGGGCGACAGAGTGAGACTTCAACTCAAAAAACAAACAAACAAACAAACAAAAACAAAACTAAAATAAAAAATAAAATAAAATAAAAGCAAATAAAAAAAAAAAAGAAAGTAGGAAGATCAAGCAATAGACCTCACTGAAGTTAGTTCTGAACTATATTTTCCTTCACTATGTACCATATCAAATGCTAGTTTGGACCACAAACAAAAACAATGGTCTTCAAAGCCAAAGTGTTTATATCTTGATATGAAATTTGGTCAAACAGGTATATGTACTAGATACAAATCTTTTATTAAAAGAAAAAACTACAAACATATTACACTCTAGGTAATAAAGATCTGCATGCTGAAGTATTTACAGAAAAACGCATTGATCTTTTTGCAATTTACTTTGAAACACATTAAATGAAATGAAACATAAGGAAGATGTGCTGATGGATGTAGGAAAGATGTATGATAAAGTAGATGCAGTAAAATGTTAATTTTCTAATAGTACCAGTGGTGGATACACAGGGGATCAATGTAAAATATTTCAACTTTTCTGTTTGAAAAGTTAATATAATAGAATGCTAGAATCCTGGCCAACTCTTGTTTCACTTTAGAAACTTGCTTTGTAGGATTAAAGAAATGGAGGGCTTGTTTAATTCTTTGTGGAAAAGGGAAGATGGAATTATAATAAAAGATAGAGGAGTTAAATACAGAATTCAAAGTGGCTCAGACTGGGAGATCCTACTGAAATATATAGATACATTCTGAAATCCTATTTCTCCCACTAATAGTGACAAAGCACTTTCATCCTACAGAGAAAACAAAAAAAGAAGAACATTTCCAGGTGAAGACTGCAAAACAAGAGCACAACACTTGCCTTTGTCTCATCTTGGCTGGCCAGCAGGCTGCTACTGGGATTTATAATAATTCTATCTTCTCTCTTTGGATAATCTGGATTTTCCAGAAGAAAATTACAAAGTCTGAAAAAAATCAAATGATGTCACTTTTATACTGCTTCCAAATCTCACATCTGTCCATTATTTCTAACACGATATTTGAAAATTTAGATCCTACATTACAGCTGGTCTGTCAAGGAATTAAGATGTCTGTAGCCCAGAAAAACTAAACAAATAAAAGAACAAAAAACCAATTACATTGAATTTCTACCCTGTGAAAGATAAAATGTTAAAAAGCAATGAATGATGAATGCAAACTTGTCCAAAGTTTATCTATTAGTCAGGTGTCAGTAATGAAATCACTGAAATGAATATTGGCTGAAGCATATGAAACTGGAGAATTTGTAAGAAAAGTAGCTATTGTCTGTCAAGAAAATTATGAAAAAACAAGTGGTAAGTGTATTTACATTTACAATTAAAAGTAGTCTAAAAGACTTAATAAATGAACATAAAAGAACTTCTGTTAATTTATTAATATTTTTTGTAACCCTAAGATAACATAAATCTCTATGAGCCGTTTGAGTTAGGCTTAGTTTGTTTAGCTAACAGTGAGATTGATGAACAGACCATGTCTTCATATGAACAGACAATCTTCTTAGCAAATCTATTAGTCTTGTCTATTATGATGAAATACTTCTAACGTAAGGATATACAGGAGTAAGAAAACAAACACTGATGTATTACCACTCAGACTTAACAAATGTTAACTATCCAGACACCTCACCCTAACACAATCAAATCAGATAACCACCTTGGAATGCTTGCATGGTAGCAAGGAAGAGTACGTGGGTTTCAGCCCTCACTACATTTAGTAGCAAGAAAGCCTTTTTTGCTCAATGAGCAATGGGGGCTTCCCCTTGGCTCTATTCCATTTCTTTCTTTGGCTCCTATAGATTCTTAGGATAACCCCGCCTTCTCACAGGTGCCCCACCCTTAATTCTCCATCTTTCCAAGTTCTCTTTGCCCAGTGTCAACAATGAGACCAACAATAGGAAGACAGGCCTGGCAGGAAGAGGACAAAGGACAAAAGTGTCCAGCTCCTTTGCTCACCCAGTTTCACTGTTTGGGGACTGGAAAATGGAGAGGTATGCTTATTCTGTAACATACCTCAAGACCCCTAGGCATGACCCTTTTGAAAAGTTGTCTCTCTCATCCTGACATCTCAATAACTTTTCCTTCACCTCCAGTTCCAGGAGTGCCATATATGCTTCTCCATCCCTAAGCTCCCCGCTTCCTTATCACCCAGCCTGCCTGGTCTATGGAACACAATGCCAGAGCCCCAGAGAGGAAAAAAAAGCAAAATCCTCTTCCTATAATACCACTGTAATAAAGGGAGAGACAAAAATCCTGAGCATATTTTCCTTTAAAACCATTGTCACTGATTTTTTTTTTTCAGTCCTAGAATTTAATGGTGTCCACTGTAGGTTATGCAGGCTGACCTGAGAATTAACCACCAGTAAAAATTCTTTATCTGTGGAGAAAGATCTGGAATTCCAAATAACTCCTTACACTTTACACGTGCATACCCAATGTGGCCACAAACCAGTATTCGCTACTTTTCTGTATTATCTCAAGTACACGATACATACATAAGTACACCTCTACATGATACAGAGGCAAAATAGTAGGTACAAATTTCTTGAATAACAAAATGTATTTTAGGGGTTCTTCTCTTCCCGATTCATTTTATGTTTTCAACAATATTAAGAACTTCACATATTGAAATGCTATAAGATGTGGAGTTCCACATAGAAAAAAATCAGAAGCTCTCACTCTGAACAGTGAAATTTTACTTATAGTTTAATCCCTTCACTTCCTTTACCAACAGAATTTTCTTGGAGGTTACGTGACAATCAGTGGCACAAATAACAAAGAACAAGGCTTCTCTTCTACAGAAGCAAGTCGTAGTCTCTGCACTAATATTTGCATCCAGGGGAAAAGTTATAGGGAAGTATGTCAGACTTAAATCTGCCCATCCCTTTATATTATCTCATGCTTGATCTGACCTGACTTGCTAATGGATCTAGAGAAAGCACTTCTGCTGAGTAAGCAAGGCTAGTACTCCTACCTTGCAAACAGTTGTTGCCACCTTCATCCAAATGAAGTTGCATCACATGTGAGTAAAGAGTCTTAGTTCACCAAAGAGTAGATTACCTGTCATATGAGGTTCTCTAGTGAACAGGACCTTCCTGCTTAAAATGATCAGATGGTTCCATCGGAAGGCCATTTAAAGACACATATAAAATAACAGAGTCAGTTACAAAATTTCAGCGTGCTCAACTCAGCTTTGGGTCTCATTTCAATCTCAACATTTTATTTCAGTTATGAAATTAACACTTTTTTAAAAGTCAAGGGACTAATGGGAAAAAAAGCGTGTCAGGAAAACCACAATGTGGTTTGAAAAGATGTGATACAATACTGTACATTCCCTTGCCTTTCGGATTTCACAAGACTTTTTATGTATTTAAGAGCTTCTGAGTGACACAAAAAGCACAGAGGGTCAATAAGTTGCTAAATATAAGACTTGTGAGACTCAAGAAGTAGAAAAACAGAATTGTAACAGAAGGTGTCAATTTGTTTACAATTACTAATATTTTACAGGCAACTAATCTTGAACACATTTTTTAAAAATTATGTTAATTTGCAGAGGGAGAGGGAAATAATTAAAGCCTATCAAATTTCTATGGGAGTTAAATTGTCCAAAAATACTAAAACATGGTATCATCTATTCAAATCACTATTCTGTAAATGTGCTGAACTTTATACTTTTCTCTATCATTTATATTTTCTGTAATGAACAAACAAGTATTACATATCTAACTTTTTTTTTTTTTTTGAGTCGGAGTCTCACTCTGTCGCCCAGACTGGAGTGCAGTGGCCGCTCCCAGCCACCGCAGCCTCGACCTGCTGGGTTCCAGTGATCCTTCCGCCTTAGCCATCCAAGTTGCTGGAACTACAGGCGCGTGCTACCACACCCGGCTAATTTTTGATTTGTTGTAGAGATGAGGTCTCGCCAAGTTGCCCAGGTGAGTCTCGAACCTGCAGGCTCAGGCAAATCACTCACCTCAGCCTCCCAAGGCGCGGGATTACAGGCTGAGCCACTGAGCCCGGCTATCTGGCTTTTTTTGAATCGAAGTATCACTGTCACCCAGGCTGGAGTGCAGTGGCATGCTATTGGCCACTGCGGCCTTGACCTGCTGGGCTCAGGTGATCCTTCCTTCTACCTCAGTCTTCCTAGTAGCTGGAACTACAGGCACATGCTACCATGCCCAGATAATTTTTTGATTTGTTGTAGAGACAAGGTCTCCACCAAGTTGCCCAGGCTGGTCTCAAACCCCCAGGCTCAGGCAATCCTCTTGCCTCAGCCTCCCAAAGTGCTGGGATTACAGGCTTGAGCCACCGCTCCCGGCCTCTATTATATTTCATAGCCATGAAAACATTAACAACAACAAAAAAAGGAATTAAATGAGAAAAGAGAAGTAAACAATTCACATGGGAGTGAACACAATAGTAAACAAATATATGAAAATCAGAGCAAATTATCAAAGAACTGCAACCTGAGACAACTTTAAGCCTAATTAATGAAAACCACCACCATTACTAAATATTGTTGAAGAACTGTTAAAGCAATTCTTATACATCACTAACAGTTAACATTAACTGGTACAATTCTCCTGGAACGCTTTTTGAAAATATGCTTCAAGGACCATGAATTTGTTCATAAACCCTGATCCCAGATTTTAACTTTCAGGATTTCATTATGTAGTGAATACTTTATTTTTATTTTTTATTTTATTTTTTTGAGTTGGATTCTCACTCTGATGACCTGTCTGGAGTGCAGTGGCACGGTCCCAAACACTGCAGCCTTGACCTGCTGGGCTCAGACCATCCTTCCGCCTCAGTCTTCCAAGTAGCTGCAACTACAGGAGTGTGCTACCACGCCCAGCTAATTTTTTAATTTACTGTAGAGAGGTCTCGCCAAGTTGCCCAGGCTGGTTTTGAACCCCTGGGCTCAGGCAATCCTCTCGCCTCAGCCTCCCAAAGTACTGGGATTACAGGCATGAGCCACCAATGCCCAGCTTTTTTTTTTTTTTTAAAGAGTGCTGGTTTTTAGCTAGGCTCGGTGGCTCAGCTTTTTACTCTTAATGAGGAGGATGAAGAGCTCACACTAAGAACCAGAGAAGGATCAGTTCAGACTTCCTTGTTAATTTGTGCTTGCATTATTAATATTATCTTCAACTACGGATTTTCTGGCAACAATCTTTTTTAAGCCACATGTCATTTTTTGAAGCCTAATTTAGTTTAGCCAGAATAATATCATCTATAGACTCATATAATCCAGCTCAGACATACTGCCAAAGGCCATGATATGCTAAAAACAACCTATTGAGGGTGCCAGAGTCAAGACACCCACAACCCTTGGAACAACCACAAATAACCTGTGCCTCTGACCTTTTGACACGGAACCTATGTCAGTATCAACCCACATATTAGATACAATAAAACCAAATGAGCTTCTTATATTTAGAAAAATATATATATTAATATTTTCTTCTTGCTTCCCAGTGGATGGTTTAACTCACTGACCCTCTTTGAAGATCACGAATTTGCCATATGATTAAAGAATATAAATAAAATCATACCAAATAAAATCACACCCAATAAAACCAGAGACAACTCTCCATTTCAAAATTCCTTAGTTATTTAGAATAAGTTAGACGTAATTTCTTGCTTTGCCTCTTACCTCCCTTTCCTTGTCATCAATAGTCATTAAAGGATGTCACCAGTAGATACAGCTTTCCTTGAATCCTCAATCAATTGTGATGGGAAAGAACTGCATTAAAACCACACTGCCATTGATGAGTTGTTGTCTAGAATGGGTTGCCTGTGCATCTGGACTGCACTCACCTATGATCTTTAGTCATCTGCAACCCAGTCTCATTCACACCCATACCTGACTAAGGTCACTGAGAGTGGATAGATTTTCACATGCCTTGCATCCTGCTCTACTGCAGCATCTGCTT